TTGGTATCAGGGTGATGTTTGTTTCATAGAATGAGTTTGGGAGAATGGCCTCTGTTTCAATTTTTTGGAATTGTTTCTAGAGAATTGGTATTAATGCTTCTTTAAAAGGTTGGTATAATTCTGCAGTGAAGCTGTCTGGTCCTGGACTTTTCTTTGTTAGGAGACTGCTGATAACAGCTTCAATCTCTTTGATTGTTATTGGTCTGTTCAGACTTTCTGTCTTTTTGGCTCAGTCTTGGTAGTTCGTGTGTGTCCAGAGATTTATCCATTTCCTCCAGATTTTCAAATTTTTGGCATATAGTTGTTTACAGTAGTGTGTAATGATTCCTTGTATTTCTGAGGTATTGTTTGTAGTACCACCTTTTCCATTTCTAATTTTTGTTATTTGTGTCTTCTTTTTCTAGTTAGCCTTGCTAATTGTTTGTCAATTTTGTTTATGTTTTCAAAAACCAACTTTTTTTTTCATTGATCTTTCGTATCATTTTTCGGGTTTCTATTTCATTTAGTTCTGCTCAGATTTAATTATTTCTTTCCATCTACTAACTTTGGGTTTGGGTCGTTCTCATTTTTCTAGTTCTTTAAGGTGAAGTGTTAGGTTGTTTACTTGCCATCTTTCCATTCTCCTGAAGTAAACATTTAATACCATAAATTTCCCCCCTTAGTACTGCTTTTGCAGTATCCCACAGGTTTTGGTACAATTTCTCATTATTTTCAATACATTTTTTGATTTCCTGTTTAATTTTTTCTTGGACCCATATGTCATTAAGTAGAATGTTGTTNATTAATTAACACAATGTTAGTTAATTAACACAAGAGCATGGGGTATCTTTCCATCTTCTTGTGTCCTCTTTAATTTCTCTCAACAGTAGTTTGTAGTTCTTGTAGAGAATTTTCACATCCTTGGTTAACTTTATTCCTAGGTTTTTTTTTTTTTTTTTCATGTCTATTGTAAATGGGCTAGCTTTCTTGATTTCTTTTTCTGCTAGTTTGTTGTTGGAATATAGAAATACTACTGATTTTTGTGTATTGATTTTGTATCCTAAAACTTTGCTGAAATCATTTATCAACTCTAAGAGTTTTTTTGTAGAGTCTTTAGGCTGTCCTATATATAAGATTATACCATCTGTAGACAGGGACAGTTTGACTTCATTGTTCCAGTCTGAATGCCCTTTATTTCCTTCTCTTCCCTGATTGCTCTGGCTAGTACTTCCAACACTATGCTGAATGGGCATAGTGGGAGAGTGGGCATCCTTGTCTCATTCGTATTCTTTTTTTTTTTTTTTTTCATGTCCGGCAACGGGATCGCAACCCTCGGTGTTGCGCCTGCACCTCGCTCAGCCAGTGAGCAGGAACTGATCTGTATGTGGGATCTGAACCCTCGGCGGGAGCACTGCCGCACTTCCAAGCGGCGCACTGTAGCAGTGCGCCACCGGGCCGGCCCCTCATTCGTATTCTTAAGGGAAAATCTTTCAGCTTTATCCCCATTCAGGGTGATATTGGCAGTGGGTTTGTCATATTTGGCTTTAATTGTGTTGAGAAACTTTCCTTCTATACCCAATTTACACAGTCTTTATCATGAATTCTATACCCAATTTACAGAGTCTTTATCATGAATGAATGTTGAATTTTGTCAAATGATTTTTCAGCATCTATAGAGATGAACATATAGATTTTGACTTTGCTTTTCTTGATGTGGTGTATCACATTTATTGATTTGCATATGTTGAATCAACATTGCATCCTTGGGATGAATCCCACTTGATCATGATGTATTATTTTACATATGTGTTGCTGTATTCTATTAGCTAGTATTTTAATGAGGATTTTTGCATCTATATTCATCAAAGATATTGGCCTGTAGTTTTCTTTTTTTGTT